ATTACATCATTAATTATTTAATTAACCAAAAAAATTACATCTTTATTAATAACAAATTAATTCATAAACAAAATTATTAAATATAAATTAGGCAAACGTGCATTGCACGTTGCTTGCACCTAGTACATATTAGTATGACTTAAAAAAAATTAGTATGATTCTGAATCCGTCCCTGATAACGACTGACTAAGAGATAATTATGTGAGTCCAATATCGTCCTAACATATTGTAAGCCCCTCTTTGATTTAGATAAAAAAAAGTTGATTAAATTTGAAGTTAAGAGAAAAAGTGTATCAGATAAATACGTACATGTATGCATATAGAGAGAGAATTGGGAGATAGTGGGTAATGGTGTGTGTTATGATGGTGGGATGGGGGTGTGTGTATTGTCTTTCCTGTGCCTCGTCAAATTGAATTGGCAGATAGTGAATACGGGGTGGATTGTTGTGAAGGGATGGGGGTGTGGTTCAACGCAATATTTCCAACCAAAACTCTATCTTCTATCTCTCTTAACTAAAGACAAGTTCACCAACACGAAATTAATTAGTTCAGCTGCAAGAATGACAAGAGAAAATAATCCAAACATAGAATTTGAATTTGGTACATACTTCATTACTTATAAAATTATTATGAGCTATATATCTAGACTCGGGAGTAGCACTCCCTGCATGCATATTCTATTCAAGATCTTCCCTTGGCTCTAACTTCTCAATCATTTGGCAATTTCACCTGCACAAGAGAAACGTCTTAAATCAGCCTTTATTTTGTATTGTTGAATCACTTCATTTAATAACACGTTAGAGAGTCAATACGTTGCACATTTTTCATCAAATATATAATACACGTGCACAATTTTCATAAATAGATAGTGAATTGTCAAGACTTGAAGTCAAGATGTTTATTATCTCATAACATGTCAAGTCACCTTATCTAAAATTTTAAGATGTAAGAGAAAAAAATGTATGTTTATTTTAAGTTTAGTCTTCAACACACGATGATTCAAAAGTGAGAGGGGCGGAAAAAAATCACGAACTAAACAGTCTAAACTAGACGGTTCGAGAGAGGGAGAGAGACTTGAAAGGAGAAAGTTTACATGGTTCAAAGTTGGCAGTGCACTTATCAGGAAGCTGCATGGCCATGTTTTTATCAACACCAGTAATTGGAGGGCCACTGACAAGAACACAAAGACAAGGCTGGCCTAGAATTTTGATGGCTGCACAGCAAGCATCACTTGGTGGGATTGTGCTAAATGGAGCAACTGCTGCCCTGCATGGTATAAGCTGAACTAGGGCTGAGAAAAATGTGCTTCCACATGGATGTCCATTGCTTTCCTTCACTAAAACACCTGCAGCCATGAAAACAATAACGAAAACAAAAGTCGAAAGCTTCATGGTTTTAAGTGAAAATCGACTCATTTTTGTTTTAAGTGATTATGCTAGTTTCTGGATAGCCATGCATCTTAATGAGTGAGATTTATATAGGGAGAGGATGGAAAGGAAAATGATGTTTTATGCTTCTGTCCTAACTCCATTCACACTTGATTCATGTCGGTGCTTGTTAGCCAACCCTGCCATTTATTGAGCATGAAAATTCATAAGCTTGCCAATTTAACTATTATTACACTTAAGAGCATATTTAGTATAAGAATTAGATAGCACTTTGTAGTATAAAAAATGAAAAGAAGTTAAAATCTTATTCAATACTGCAAATATCCCAGACATGCACTCTGAGATTACATTTAATACCCAATAAAAAGAAATGAAAAGATTTTAACTTATACAACAGACAACGCTTTTAATGTATTTTTATAATACTGTCCAATCTGTATGATTTAGATATAGGGTATAATGACCTAAAAAGTATATTCATTTGCAATCTATCCACTTTTTCCACTAAACAGTCATTACACTCGACATGATCTTCCAAATTTGTAATTTTTAACTAATGAAGAAGAATCCAAGAATCTTCTTCAGACGAAGGATTCAACTATATGGCCATCAGTTCCCATGCTCGAAAAGGAAGCTAACACTTGAGATATGGCCATCAGTTCCAGTGCATTGCCTTGACAATCAATCTCTATGTTGCTGGTAGAAAACGAATTTGACCCTTCCTCTGGAACGTTGAACTTGTAAAGATATCTCTGATGTCCCTCCGAAATATTTTTTATCCTGGATACACTAGTTCAGAAGCAGTTTTATTGGATGTAGTTGAATTTAAGAGAGAAAATAAGACAATACAAAGAGAATAGAATTGTATCGAATAGTGTAATTTGTTTACAAGAGAGACTTCCTATTTATAGTTTAACTTGATA